GTTGTAGTTCGCTTTGTTTGGAGGGTATGGAGGGGCTCTCAGGGCCTGGGCCCCCAGAGCTGTGGCCCCCGGACTTCAGTGGCCGCTCTGAGGAGGCACGAGACCGGGTGCAGCAGCTTCAGCACGTTTGTGGGGACCCCACTATGAGAGACACCCCTGAGAATCGGCTGACTGTGGAGGTGGGGTTAAAGGGCATGTGCTGGCCGCTCTCGCACTCCCATTTCATGGTTGAGCTTCTGTGCCCGGCACTCTCCTTCTCTTGCAGCCGCCCTTTTGGGAGCGTGGTGACCTTCAGCCCCACTGTGTGGCGAGGGTGCACCCAGAAGGGTGGCGCGGAGAGGACCGTTTCCTGTGGAAGGTGACGTCCCAGCTTGAGTGGGCACCTCATGGAGAAGGCACTGGGAGTGTTGTTGGCGTGGGCTCTTGGGGTCCTCTGGATGGGGTTGAGCTGCAGCTGTAGCCAGCTTGAGAAGGACCAGTCACTAACCCCGTGCAGATTGGTAAGGGTCAGTGGTAGGATGCTTCTCGGGATGATGGGTGGTTTAGAGCTGCCTGTGGTTTCCCAGATGCTGCTTTGCCTTGTGATCACAAAGTACCTGAATTCGCCCGTTTTCGGTTTAATTTGTTGTGCATTTCAATGTTGCGGTTGATGCAAGGTCTTTGTTTTTTTTTTTTTCAGTGACGCGTCCTTCAGACTTGACTGCATTTGGGGTCAGAGGGAAGGTATCTCTGCCCCTAACGTGTGAGCCAGAGGGGAGGGGCTCACATGGGAGGGCACATTAGGAGGGGGCCAGGAATGTCCGTGTCTTCTGGAAGGCCTCGAGCCCAGGGACCGATCAGGCATGAGACAATACCAACAGGACAAATGCAGGGAGCTGAGGGAGGCCCCTGACCCAGCATCCTGGCGAGGCCTCATCTTTGGTCAGTGCAGTTGGGGACCGTGGGACGTGTGTGTTCAGTGTCCCACACGGACCGTCCCATCCACCCTTGTTCTGCAGCTGGAGGCCGTGTGACCCTGTTCACAGGCCTCCTGTGCATGTCGTGTATGTTGGCTGGAGCCTGTCTGGTTATTTGCTCCCATCTATAGAGTTCACAAGAACACGAGTTGGGTGAGGTGTGTGGAAGATAGTTAAGTTAAAAAGTAGCAGGTAAGACCTCAAGACTGAGTAAGGGGGACGTATAAACCATAAGTGGGTTCTTCAGTGAAGTGCTTTGATTTCTGTAGCTGGTGGTGAGTAGGATTAGTAGCAGTTGGGCTGTTCCCACCTTTGCCTGTTCCGTTAGACAGTGGACAGTGGCTCTTGGGTGTGCGTGTTCCCGCAGACGAGCTACATGGATAATGAAACCCACTTCTCGCTGTTGCATTTAACTCTGAATCTGAAGCTGACAAGGAGCACACGACATTGCTTCTCACTGGTTGTGCCTTCTGAGTCAGACCTGCCAGGTGATGCCCCCCCTTCAGCTCTCAGAGGCAGTGTGCAGAGTGAGGGCGGTTAGAGAGCATTAGGGTGAGGCCTCCCAGGCCTGGGGCGCGTTCTCCTTCCTCATGGCTGCATGTGTGGGGTCATGCCTTGTTGGGAAAACACCGTGGGCCTCCCCCAACATGCCCTCCTCAGAACTGGCCTGAGGGTGCAGATCAGAACATTCAGGTTCTGCAGTGGTGTGCCTGCTCTTCTGCTTCCTACGGAAAGTTCGTAGTGAGAGTGGGGGAAATGGGTGACAGTGGCCCAGAGGCTGTCCTGGGACGTAGGGTACAGCGTGGCCGTAGCTGACAGGACTGGATCGTGTATTAGATTCTAAGAGAGGAGACTGTAGAAGTTCTCTTCACAAGAAAATAACCTTTAGCTGCGGGACGTGAGGAATGTGATGATCGTTTCACAATATACACGTACCCGAGGAGTCACTGTGTGCCCGTCATGTATTAGCACTGGGTGGGGAAAAAGTTCAATTGGTTTACTCACGTCCGTTGATTGTGCCGGGCTGAATATTCTCCCCTGTGAGTGTGTTGATTCCCATCTTTGTCACAGTGGTGTTAGGACAGTGAGGTATATCTGCTTAGCACGCGCGATTTCTGCAAAACAGGGACGGCGTGTCATGTGCCGCTCGGCCGCAGAAGGAGCCTGAGCCACAGGATGGACTGTTGGGCTTGCGGGGTGGGGGGGGTGGCTTGAGGCTGTGTTCCGCTGGTGCCCTGGAGGCCCACGCTGGCATGCAGAAAGCAGGATGCGGCACGTTATTTGTGATCATATCCGCCAACACACGTAGAGGACCCCTTTTACAGTTAAGTTCTACATGTCGGGGATGGGTTGGGCTTTTGAGTGACTGACAGTCTCTGTGCACAGAGGTGGCTGCTAGAAGGCATCTTAAAAAGTAGTCCCTAATGCATATCAGCTCCTTGGGAAAGACTTCGCCTTCACCGTGTTAATTTTTCTCACATAGATGTCAAAACTGACAGTGTGGACTGCAGAGCCGCACGTTTCACTCTATGTAATTTAGGCCCAATGAACTTGACTTTTACAAAGGCGGAAAGACTTAAAGCTCTGATGGGCCCCAGCTTTTCATTCGAGTAGGAGATTCATCCCTCGGAGCTCCCCATGTACAGCACAGAATGGTTCTGTCTCCTGGGTCACATTTTCGTTTCCCATGTCGAGCTCCAGCTTGGTGGTCTCTTCGTGCTGGTGACTGCAAGCAGTTCAGGCCCTGTCGGTAATCGCTGCTAGAGATTCTGTCGAGTCATCCGCCTCCGGTGCCTTGGCTTACCTGAAACCTCACAGGCCTGTAGGAGGGGACACCGAGGGTGCAGGTCGAGACCACAGCACCACTTGCCCTCAGCAGCTGAACTGGTCACGTGGTACTCGTTTAGGGGAGTGGAACGGGTGTAAACTCACAAAGCTACCTTTTTATCTCACTGGACTGTCTTCCCCAGGGAGGCCCCATTGTTGGCCTTGGCCTGTGGCCAGATAGACCTTTGCATCCCAAGAACGTAGGTCGTCACGTTCTTTGCTTTACGTTGTTGCTGGTCCTTCCCAAAGAGCTGAGGGGCTGGTGCTAACTCCCAGGCAGGAGGGAGCTCTTGTGAAGAAAGTCCACGTTTTCATTGCTCACCAATGCAGAGGGTCATCACAGTAAACCTGAAAGACAGGTTTTGACTTGAGCTCCAGGGATTCTGGTAGCAGAAGGTATGACAGAGTGTCCTGCACATTAGAACCTGTGCCGAGAGGCCACAGGACGGCTCTGGCCGTCGATGTCGACCTTTTTCCTGTGGCAGATGCTGTGTTAGGTCTTGACCTCTTGCAAAACAGTAAATGGTGCTGGGGACAGACAGGAGCCCCCAGGGTCCTGGACCAGGTGCATGGCAGGTATAGATTCTTCTAGAGTACTTGGAGAGACCAACTGCTATGTCTGGTAGCATCTTAAACCCAAGACTCCATCCCCAGCCCCCATGGGGCTCTAGGATTTTTTTTTTTTAAGATTTTATTTATTTATTTGAGAGAGAATGAGAGACAGAGAGCATGAGAGGGAAGAGGGTCAGAGGGAGAAGCAGACTCCCTGCTGAGCAGGGAGCCCGATGCGGGACTCGATCCCAGGACTCCAGGATCATGACCTGAGCCGAAGGCAGTCGCCTAACCAACTGAGCCACCCAGGCGCCCGGGGCTCTAGGATTTTGATCTGTTGAGAAAGCACGTGGGAAGGACAGGGACCAACCACATTGGTATTGAAGGCTCAGCCCAGCCCAGCAGACCAGAGACATTGTGTGGGCAAACGGGGTTTTGGGGGGCTGGCAAGGACCCATTGGGAGGAGCAGGCCGCCGGGCAGACTTAGATGATTCTTCTGCCCACATGATGGCTTGGGAGAGTACTAGGATTTAGTGTCGATTTGTGAGAAGATACGTTAACGCTAAAACAAGTAGAAGTCGCAGTCCGCCCTCCTGCCTCCTCTGTGAGGGCCGTATTTGTAAATGAGTGTGCTGGTAACATTCCTCAGTCTGTCTGCTCTGGGCAGTGAGGGTCGGCCCTGACCCTGCAGTTGTGGCCTCAGCTTCTGGATTCCCAGCGGTAACAGCAGTGGTACCATGATTGAGCCCGGTGGTACTGGCTGGTGTTTTCCCACAGGAAACATTAAAATGCTCTCTCCATTTGTTTGTAACTGTCCTCCATTTTTCCCAAGTGCCCTGGGGCTGCCAAGCCCCAGGTTTTAGCCATGCACGTAGCGTGTTCACTTTCTTGGAACTCTGCCTCGATGCCTCCTTCCTTCTGGGGGCGGGGGCTCCCCTTACCTGTGGCCACCTTGCAAGGAAGGCTTGCATCTGACGTTCTTTGTTCTGCCCCCTCCTGCCTTGGCTGGGTATGGAATTACAGGTGGAAAGTACCGCTGTGTCACTTCCATAAAGCACTCTGACCCTTGGTGTCCTCACAGTGCATCTGTTTCGGTGTTTGTAACCCAGGTTCCCTCAGTCTGGAGGGTTCTGTTCTGAGCTGGAGCATTGAAGAATTTCTGGCCCATAATTTTTTGTGTTCTTTGTTTTTTTGGAATTTCTGTCCATCAGATTTTAATTATGTTCAAGAATTTCTATCCTCCCCACCCGAAAGACTGTGGAGCAGTTTCTGGCTCCGCAGAATTGAGGGGAAGGAGGCGACTGGGTGGCTCAGTTGGTTAAGCGACTGCCTCCGGCTCAGGTCATGATCCTGGAGTCCTGGGATCGAGTCCCGCATCGGGCTCCCTGCTCAGCGGGGAGTCTGCCTCTCCCTCTGACCCTCTTCCCTCTCATGCTCTCTATCTACCATTCTCTCTCTCTCTCAAATAAATAAATAAAATCTTTTGAGGGGCAGGAGCGGGAGCTCCTGTAGGCACGTAGCCGCCCCCAGGGCAGCGTCCCCAGCCGCTCATGGACCCGCACTGACGCTGCGTCAGTCGGAGCCCCTCCTTTCCGTGGTGTGTGTGCTGTGGGCTCGGACAGGTGTGGAAAGATGCGTGCCCGTGCCCACAGGGTCCCGCAGAGTGATGGTTTCACGGCCCTGGAGCCCCGCTGGGCCCCCCCCGAGGGGCTCTGTGTCCTGTCTCCACGGTCCCGCCTTCTCCAGAACACCGCCGTCCACTTGGAAGCACAGGCGGGTAGCCTGCTCGGATGGGCTTCTTCCGCCGCGTCTTCTCGTGCTGGGAGCTCGCTTCTTCCCAGCGCTGACCCCTGTTCGTCGTCTGGGGGGACCGCAGGCTCTGTAGGCTCTCTCCTCCATAGGAGCCGGGGGCTTCCGACTTGGGGCAGTTGTGGGTAAACAGGACTTGGTGCAGACGTAGCTTCGGCTCCTGTGGGGTGTGAGAGAGGATGTCGTTTTGTGAGAAGCCCCCGGGCCGTGTCCAGCGCGGTGTCCCGTCCGTGATCCCACCAGCCGGGGGTGGCTTCTTCGCCATCTGCATATTCTCTTCTGGGAGATGTCTGTTAAGGTCTCTGGCCCGTTTCTAAGCGGGTTGTTTCCTTGCTGTTGAGTTTCAAGCATTCCTGTGTATCTCGAATGGTGGGCCTCGGCGGGATGTGATGGCTGTCTGCCTCTCTCGTCAGGCGGAGCCGTGCGTTCTCTTACTACTTGACACCCGAGGCCTTCTCAGCTGCTGGCCGCATACAGGGGGCCCTGGGGGCTGCTCCTGGCTGTGCTGGTTTCGCTGGGACGCTCTCACGGCTGTCTGCTTGGCGTCTGGGCTGCCGCTGAGCATGGGGATGGTCCTCTGCTCCCTTGCTGAGCCGGTGCCCGCTGGCCCCTATGTACCAGCAGAGACTGGGGCTGGGGACACCTCGTGCAGGACCTCCCTGCTCCTGCGTGGTCTCACCCGGCCCCCCGGCATGTCAGCAGCGCTCCTGCCACAGCCTCCTCCAGAGGGTGCCTCCCCATGGGCGCGCCTGTGACTCCTGGGTGGGCTGGGATCACGCTGCCACCATGTCCCCTGCTGGCCAGGCACCTCCGCCCCCTCCTGCTATGGCTGCACTCCTGCCCCCAGGAGGCTTGCTGTGCTGTGCAAATATGAATGCAGGGCACCCAGTGCAGTCTCAGACCGAGCACGAGGGACGTTTAGGGTAAGGGTGCCCTCTGCACCGTTGATGACGTACTCTAGCTAGAGACAGGATTCCCTGTTTATCTGATAAAGCTGATCTGGCGGCACTGGCCAACATCTGGGGACACTTGCGGTTGTGACTCGGGGCTGGGGGTGTAGGTGCTCCTGGCATCGAACGGGCTGGGACTTGGGGTGCTCTCAGCACCCTGCTGTGCCCAGGATGGCTCCCCCAGAGTGGCCCAGCCCACACGTCAGCCCCTGCGCACGGGCTCGCCTTACGTCGCCCCTTCTCCTGCTGACCTGGCCCCCGTTCCTCAGCTGCGGCAGGGCCAGCAGATGGTCTGACTTGGGGGCACAGGGGAGCAGGGGTGCACTGCAGCTTTGTTGGCCCCCGAGGCTGCGTGACACACAGAACGTGGGCCTGCCCACTGTGGCCTGCCTCATTGCCCTGACTGGGTCAGTTCCCTCCCCGGCCAAGACCTGCAGAGGTGCATGCTCCCCTTTGACCTCGCATTGTGCCCCCCCATACTTGATCGGTCCCTGTGCCAGCATTTCACGTTTCTGTCAGCTGCTTTTGTACACCTGCATGTGGCTGAGACTCCTAACAATGGGGAAAGGCTTCAGGTGGAGGATGACCCTTTGCTGCTTTCCTGTGACCCCCACAGACACCCCGAGCCCTGCCTTCCCAGGCAGCTTCTTCCTTTTATTTTTTTTTTTTTGACTTTTTCTTTTGAAGTAGTTGTAGAATCACAGGAAGCAGAAAACGGAACAGGGAGGCCCCCAGTACCCATCCCCCAATCCCGCATGCAGTGTCTTGCCTCCTGTAGTCTGGGGTGACAATCGGGTGGGGTGTGGGCCACCACAGAGCACATGCAGGTTCCTCCCAGGCTCCATGTGCTTGCGTGTGCAGATGTCTGTGACTCCCATGTGCCCTTTGGCTCTGTCCACCTTTTCAGTGTGGAGCGATGGTGCCCCCTGTTTATGGGCATAAGCGTGGACGCACAGGGTGTGTGTTAGAGGCTGAGCTTCCAGAGGTGGGGCACCAAGCAAACCCCTGCAGCTCTTTCCTCTGAGGGTGACTGGTTCCTCCCGGGCAGGATTTAACCCTGTCCTGTCTGGGGACACCAGCTGTGGGGGTCTGGGGGCGGGGTCGGGGACGCCAGCTGAGGGGGTCTGGGGGAGGGCTCGGGGACACCCGCTGGTGGGCTCTGGGGGAGGGTCTGGCGCACCAAATGATGCCTTTTTCTGACGCAGTCCTGGACGGTCTTACCCCATTCTGTCTCAGATTCCTCGGGGCTGTGGGTCCTTGTTCAGTCATCATCTACAACCAGGACCCCAGCTAGGTAGTTGTGTGGGTCCTGAACGTCTCCACTAAGGTGCGCCGCACTGGGCTCTCCTCTGGGCTCATCTGTCCATAAGCACTGCTGCTGTCCCACCTGGTTCCCGCACTGGTGACCAGGTTCCAGGGTCCCTCAGGGGGAAGTGGGAGGTGGGCATGGGCACCCCCTGCTCCGCGATGTGTCTGCCCTATGAGCTCCCCCAGCCTCTGCCCCAGTTGAAATCCGAGTGCCACCCACCTAGGACCTGTGGTTTCTGTGGAGCTGGGGGAGACAGGGCCTCCTGGCCGTGAGGCTGCTGCTGGTAGCTTTCCGCCTTTCTCCGTGAGGACGCACAGCACTGTGGTCCCGGTCCCCGCCGACTACCTGCCGACCCATCGCGTCTCATCCGCCCAGTGGTGTGCCCCTTGCCTGTGCTGCAGCTCGGCCAGCACCCTGGGTGGGGCGGGGCCCGCGGCGGACTTGGGGGCTCCAGTGCGCCGCCTGTGGGCAGTGCAGCGCGCAGCCGTCCCCACATTCAGGAGCTCCGGTCTCTGCCCGCAGACTCCCCGAGCACGACGAGGCGCCCGCCTTCCTCCTGGAGTGCGACCGCGCGGTGCTGGGCGCGCTGCAGACACACCTGGCACTGTACAAGATCCGGCGGAAGGTCACGGTGGAGCCGCGCCCCAAGCTGCGCGTGTGGGCTGTGCTGCCCCGCACCCCGGAGGAGGCCGGCGGGGCTGCGCCGCTGCCGGAGCAGGCGGAGCGGACCACCATCCTCACCCGCGACCCCCGGACCACCCGCATGGGCTGGCGGCTTCTCACCCAGGACGAGGGCCTGGCCCTGGTGCCCGGCGGCCGGCTGGGAGACCTCCGGGACTATCACCGGTACCGGTACCAGCAAGGTGTGGGCGCGGGCCTGGGCCGTGCTGGGGGGCGGGCAGTGGCGGGGGCTTGCTGAGTGGTGGGCCGGTGCCCTGGGGGGCCCAGGGTGAAGGGTCGGCTCCAGCGCTAGCTTGTCGGCCCCGCCCCCCCCCGCCCCCCCCAGAGGATAGGGCACAGAGAGCGCGCCCTGCGGGGAGTGGTGCAGGGGAGGGGCCGCCCCCAGCTCCGAGGACATCTCAGCGCTCAGAGAGCTGCTTCCTCCACCCCACAGGCGTTCCCGAGGGGATCCATGACCTGCCCCCAGGAGTGGCCCTGCCCCTGGAGTCCAACCTGGCTTTCATGAATGGTGTCAGCTTCACCAAGGGCTGCTACGTGGGCCAGGAGCTGACGGCCCGCACCCACCACATGGGCGTCATCCGCAAGCGCCTCTTCCCCGTGCGGCTGTTGGGCCCTCTCCCAGCCTGCGGCATCAGCCCTGGCGCCTTGGTGCTCACCGCGTCGGGGCAGGCAGCCGGCAAGTACAGGGCAGGCCACGGGGACCTGGGCCTGGCCTTGCTGCGGTCAGAGCATATCAAGGGCCCTCTCCACATCAGGACGGCTGAGAGTGGCCAGGTGGCCTTAACTGCGACCGTGCCGGACTGGTGGCCCACAACCACCAAGTAGCTCCGGAGCTGCCAGGGGCCGTGGAGGGCCCTGTGCATCTTCTGCGCTCTGCAGGCTGGCCCCCACTTCCCAGGTTGTCTGGTTAATGCACACCCCCCCCCCCGGAGGCCCCCCAGTGGCGTGGGCCCCTCAGGGCTGTGGACATTGTTGGTGTGCAGGTATGGCCCAGACGTTTCCCACAGAGGGTCTGATGCCCAGCTCTGGCTGTCCTCTCCCGGCCGCTCTGTGGTCACGCGGGGCAGGAGCCCTCTGGCAGCCGGAGGGTGAGGACAGGCAGGCCCTGCACCTGCTTCTGGGCTGAGCTGAGCTGCAGCTTCTGCCCGATGAGGATGGAACCCAGCTGTACGGCTTTAGAGGGCGTTCAGCCATCCGCCGGGACAGGGATGGTCCAGGGCCTTGCCCCTGGGCTGCCTGCACCCGTCTCCATCTGGGATTGGCTGAAAGGGCAGGTGGTCCCTGGGAACTGCCTTACCATGTGCGGGCTGTGGAACCACGACAGCATTTCAGGTGGGGTCCCCACCTGTGCACCGTGGTCTCGGCAGCATGCACCTCACCCCCGGAGCTGCTCAGGGTGCAGGGAGGAGCTTCTGCTTGGTTTCCTTGCTGCTGGTTTGAGATGTTGCTGTGTCCTCACAGTAAGAGCTGACTTCCCCCCCCTCCTTAAACCACTGACTTCCGTTGTCCCCTGCAATGTGAACCTCATGCTTACAGGGTGTCCCACTTGATGTTCCAGGGTGGCTATTAAAGCGTGACCCACCAGCAGCCTGTGTGGAACTCTGGTTTCATTTTGGGCGGAAGGTGGTGGGATGTGGCTTTGGGTAGAGCAGATACACTGAGAACACACCGGATGAAACCTAGCCGCAGAGTCCTGGGATGGCAGGGGAGCACTGGGTCTGGGGCAGACGGTGGAGGGCAGGGCTTGGGAGCGGTTGCAGCCCCAGGCCCCTCAGCTCTGGCTCCCCTTTATATCCTCGGAGTGGAGAGGTTACCAGGAATCCGTGTTAATGCCAGCACCTGGGCCGTCATGGGGTGGTGGTAAGTCCTGCAGGTGTGTACCCCCCTCAGCGCCCACTGGCCGGTTTCCAGACCATCACCAGACCCCCAATCAGGGTTTGGTCTCCTATGCAGCCGAGGGCTGTTCAGCGCCCCTCAGTGTGTGACCCAGGGCCTGGGAGCCAGCCTCGCACAACACGGGTGTGTCTGCTCAGAACCTGCACTCCTGCTGAAGACACTCCAGGCTCCTCACGGTCTGTGGACCCACCTGCAGAGTGTGGGCAGCGGCGTGCGTGGGACCTAAAGCCCCCGTGCTGGGAGCCGGGAGCAAACAAGAGGGAGGTCAGCCACGGTGGTTGGTAGTTAGCTCGGACAGCCTCTCAGTGAAATGCTGCCTTTGAGATCCCGTGTCTTCTAATGCCTTCAGGATTCCGGGACACTGGGACCTGAGATTATTCTGTTCAGACCTAGATGAACACACAGTCCGTGTTCTACCTCGGGGCTTTTTAACGGAAGCTGCCGTTCAACAGAAGTGCTCCCTTTGTTGGACAGACCGAGTCCCTTTTCACAGAAACCCTGGTGCTTTCAAGAGTCTCTGGCTCCTAGGAGCTGTAAATCGGGCCTCCCTGTGCACACGGCCGGGATCCGAGGGGACGTCTGCCTCTGAGTCCGTGTAGGCTGATCTCTGAGAGTCAGAGCTGGTGCCAGAAAGCCCCCTGTGGCTCTCCTGTCTGCCTCAGTTTGTACCAAGTACTGAGTTCCAGACAGTAAGCTGTCATTTACTGCAGCCTGATGCCTGGGAGGGTCCGAGTGGTGGCCGGGGCAACCTCGGTACCCTGCACAGAAGGCAGATGTCTGCACAGCCAACCGGTGTGGAAACGCGGCACCCTGCCCGGGCCCCGGGCACAGAGGACCCGGCAGGCAGATCGGAACCGTCACTCTGTCTGGCTGGAGGCCATTCCATGGTTGGCGTGTCTTCTGGTATGCCAGTTCTATACTGTTGTGGGTACGGTGGCTTCGTAATTCAGCTGGAAATCGGGAAGTCCAACACCTCCAGCTTGCTTCTTTCCCAAGATTGCTTTGGCTATTCTTCATGGCCTTTCATCATTCCCTACCAATTTTAGGACTTTTTGCTCTTTTTCTCTGAAAGATGCCATTGGATTTTTTAGGGCTTGGCCTGAATCTCTAGATTGCATTTGGTAGTATGCATGTCTTAGCGAAATTAATTCTTCTGGTCCATGAGCATGGTATATATTTCCCTTTACTTGGGTCTTCAGCTCTTTTCATCCATGACTTACAGATTCCAGTGTGCAGGTCTTTCACTTCCTTGATTAAATTTATCCCTGGTATTTCGTGCTTTTTGAGTCAATGGAAACGGGATTGTTTTGTTCCTTTCCCTTCCTGTTAGTGTATAGAAATGCAACAGATTTCTGCGTCTGGATTCTGTGTCCTGACCTTTATCAGGCATCCTGGCTAATGGTGCTTGGCTCCCCCATGTGAATGAGCACACTGTTTGTGCTCTGTTCTCACACATACTCCCACACACAGTTGCGTTCAATTTGTCCAGCTGGGGGGAGCGGCCATCCCAGTGCTCTTGATTTTTCAAGCCCACGGACATCACGGGTCCCTTCATTTATTGAAGTCTAATTTAATGTCTTTCACAGCAGCTGTATCCTTTTCCTAACATTCTTACCTGTCTTCTGTTAAATTCACCCACGTGCTCTTAAAAACAGTCGTATTATTACTGCAAATGGCACCTCTGTGAAACTGCATGTGCGTTAAGTTCTCACGCACGTATGGGAATAGGTTTGCAAAGTTGTACGTGGTTCTTACTGATTCTTGTCTGTAGGTGGCGCAGGGGCGTGTAGACAGTCCTGTAATCTGAGGATGGGTGCCGGTTTCGTGTCTCTCTGGCGGCCCACACGCCTTCACCATTTCCCTGCCTTCCCGCCACGGGTTGAGTTCAGTGGGGATGTGGCACCTCAGCCCACTCTTGATCCTCAAGGAGGGGCTGTTGCTGTTTCACCGCTTGACCCCTGCTGCTGAGAGTTTTTGGTAGGTACCCTTTTTCAGGCTGAGAAAGTTCTCATGACCGGAAGTCTTCCTTTGCCAAGGTGTTTCTTTCTTTTGGATTTTTTTTTGGTTGTTTGTGTGTGTGTGTTTAAAGATTTTATTTATTTGACACAGAGACAGCGGGAGAGGGAACACAAGCAGGGGGAGTGGGAGAGGGAGAAGCAGGCTTCCCGCGGAGCAGGGGGCCCGATGCGGGGCTCGGTCCCAGGACCCTGGGATCATGACCTGAGCCGAAGGCAGACGCTCAACGACTGAGCCACCCAGGCATCCCTGTGTGTGTGTGTTTTTTTAATCACAAATGGAGGCACCTGGGTGGCTCACTCAGTCGGTTGCGTGTCCGATTCTTGGTTTTGGCCCAGGTCATGATTGGGGTCGTGGGATTGAGCCCCGCGTGGGGCTCTGCGCTCAGCGAGGAGTCCGCCTGAGATTCTCTCTCTGGCTCTGCCCTTCCCCCACCCTGCCCACACACTCCCCAAAATTAAAAATAAAAATAAAAATCACGACTGGTTGGAGTTTACTGAGTTTTGCAGGTATGAATTGAAATGGTGATTGTGTTTTCTAAGAACTTGTCTGCATCATCTGAGTTTTCAAATTCGTTGTGATGAGATCGTTCTCAATATTGTTTTTTAAAAAAATGATGTCTATTGCGGTGTAAACTGCATCCATGCAAAGTACGCAATGCAGGGAGTTTTGGGAAGTGTCTCCTCGTCGCCCTGCCCCTGGCAGCCACCGTTTTACTCTCTCTTACTGTGAATTTGACCCTTTCTTTTTCTTCCCCATTTGGGCTGCATGAGTTCCTTTTGGACACTAGCCCTTATCAGCTCTGTGGTTTACAAATATTTCCTCCTATTCCAGCTGTCTTTTCACCATGTGGTCCCCCCTCCCGACAAGACTTGTCACCTGTGCCTGGGTGTCATGTCCAAAAAATCATGGCCAACACCAACGTCAAGGAGAATTTTCCCTGTGTTTTCTTCTAGGGATTTTACAGTTTCAGGTCTTACACTTACCTCTTTAATCTCTTTTGAGTTAATTTTTGTGCATGCTGTGCGGAAGCCTCCAGCTCTGCTATGTTGCATGTGGATATCCCGCCCTGTTTATCGAGGACACTGCCCCTGACCCACCGAGTGTTCCCGGTGAAACCTAGACTCTCTGCGCGTCAGGAGCACACTGTGAAGGCGCTCACACGGGGTGTGTCTTCACAAGGCCAGCTTTAGTCAGTCGTAAAGGAAAGGTAGTCCCAATTATACACCAGGCTCAGGATTCCAAGCTCTGTGACATTTCAGCAGGTGATTAAATCTGGCTTCTTACACAGCACACAGAGCAGGACAGAAAACAAACCACACAATAAACAAGGTAACAGAGGGGGCAGGAAGTTCAAGAACCAAACGTGAAGTCAGTCTGTGGGCGCGCGGTAGAGACAAGGCCTCGGTCCGGCCTGGGTCAGCTCTCAGCACGTCCTGCTGCTGATGTTCAAGCACGGAGGGATGTCGGTTCTGCTGGGGATCCGAGGGGCAGGGCCTTTGGGGGCAGCTCCTTGTTATGTGGTCAGACAGAGAGGGGTCATGTCTGAAGATCTGACAGTTTGCTGCCAAAATCCTCCCCTTTCTAAGGGATTTAATCGATCTCAGGCCCTGCTGGCCTCCTCTGGCTCTCCTCTTTATCGGTTCTGGAGCTTCCTCAGATGACACTGGTCACAGGACTATCTGGAAGCTGCAGTCCATCTCAAATGTGTGTCATTACCTGACCCAGGCTCCTGCTTGACACGAGAACCTCACTGAGCTGTCACACTGCTCCTCTGTCTGAGCTGCAGGGGGGGATCCTGTCTCTGGGGAGAGATCTGGGTCTTTCTGCTCCTCTCTCTGAGCTGCAGGGAGGGCTCCTGTCTTTGGGGTAGGATCTGGGCCTTTCTGCTCTTCTGAGCTGCAGGGCAGGATCCTGTCTCTGGGGAGAGATCTGGGTCTTTCTGCTCTTCTGTCTGAGCTGCAGGGAGGGATCCTGTCTCTGGGGTAGGATCTGGGCCTTTCTGCTCTTCTGTCTGAGCTGCAGGGAGGGATCCTGTCTCTGGGGAGAGATCTGGGTCTTTCTGCTCTTCTGTCTGAGCTGCAGGGCAGGATCCTGTCTCTGGGGAGAGATCTGGGTCTTTCTGCTCCTCTCTCTGAGCTGCAGGGAGGGCTCCTGTCTCTGGGGAGAGATCTGGGTCTTTCTGCTCTTCTGAGCTGCAGGGCAGGATCCTGTCTCTGGGGAGAGATCTGGGTCTTTCTGTTCTTCTGTCTGAGCTGCAGGGCAGGATCCTGTCTCTGGGGAGAGATCTGGGTCTTTCTGCTCCTCTGTCTGAGCTGCAGGGAGGGCTCCTGTCTCTGGGGAGAGATCTGGGTCTTTCTGCTCCTCTGTCTGAGCTGCAGGGCAGGATCCTGTCTCTGGGGAGAGATCTGGGTCTTTCTGCTCTTCTGTCTGAGCTGCAGGGAGGGCTCCTGTCTCTGGGGAGAGATCTGGGTCTTTCTGCTCCTCTCTCTGAGCTCAACTCTGGCTGATGAACCATGCGTCTTCAAGCCTTTTGCTCAGAAGCTTCGCGCCCTCTTGTGTGATGCTGTTGCGCCACGTTTTCGGGCAGTTCTGGGGCTCCTTGGGGGATTTGTGGCTGCAGAAGGACGCGCCTCTCGACACTCGCAGACGTCAGCCTCAATCTCTGCAGGAGAAATCTACTGCTAAGCAGAAATTGTAAATGTATGTTAATGCATTTAGTAATAAGCTCAGGCTATGCTAACATAGGAGACATGTTTTTAATGAAAAACTGTGTTCTCCACAACCAACAACACACACAATGCAGGACGGGGAGTGGTGTTTGCTACAGGGTGTGAACCTCTAACAACCAGCTTCACCAACACAGCTGGTTCTCAGCAGGGCGCCACGAAAGTGATGCATGCGTAAAATGCAGATGGGTTCTGACCGCTGGGTACTCGAAGGGCCTCCGGGACCCGTGGCGTACGGGGACCCCACAGCGAGAGCCGGGCGCTGGAACACTTGTGCTCTGACCAGCTTCTTACACTTGAGCTCTGGTTGCGATTTCTCGGGAAGAAACGGCTCTGGAGGCAGGTTGGAGAGTAGGTCGTGAAGGGGGTGCCAGACCCCAGGCCTGGTCACACAGCTGCCGGCAGCCCACCCCTGCCCTAGCCCGGCCGGGCCTGCTTCGTGGCCCTCACTGTGGTCCTCACATTGGCCCTCCCCTTGGTCCTCATCATCACTTTCACCGTGGCTTTCCACTTGCTCCTCCCCTCAGCCCTTCCGCAGCCCTCACCATTGCCTTCACCATGGCCCTCCCCCTGATGCTGCCCAGCTCCAGCCTCCTGCAGTGTGTGGTGGGGGAGAGGGGTGCTGCGCTGTTGTCACCGGTTTCCTTTGCCCTGTGAGCCAGGCTGCCTGCTCTCAGCTCCTCAGAGTTGGAACATGAAACACCAGTTTGGGTGCTCCCAGTCTCCTCCTGGCTGTGGCTTTCCTGGTAACCCCACCCAGCTGAGTTCTCTGGGTGTCTGCCTGCATACCTACCAGTTCAGGCCCTCTGCTTGTCACACCCAGTGACTCCTGCTCATGGGGTCCCGCGTCAAGGCCAAGCACACTGGCTTCTCTTTCCTCCTAAAATCGTATCATACTGCTATTTTTTAGCTGCTGTTGAGATGAATGCCTGCTGAATTCAATTTAATGGCACAGACGCACACAGTGAAAAGCCTGTGTCCTCCCCACCCTCCTGAAGGTCCCCTGGTTCGGCTGTCTGCACTTCTATGTCTGTGTCCACACACAGCGTTTCGTGCTGCTCTTTTCCAGGCTGAAGTGAGACTGAGCCTTCTGTGTCCCGTGACTCCCATTTCCACACTGAACACAGGCATTGTAATGGCTGATTTTATGTGTCAACTTGACCAGACCGTGGGAAGTCCAGACATTTGGTCCAACAGGATTCTGGGAGTGTCTGTGAAGGCATTTCTGGGTCAGGGTAACAGTGTGTAGGCTGCATGAAGCAACTTGCCCTCCCAGTGTGGGTGGGCCTCGTCTAATCAGGTGAAGGCCTGCATAGAACAAACAGGTGGAGGAAGAGGGAACTCGTCCTGTTCGACTGCCTGACCTGGGACATCAGTCTTCTCCTGTCTTGGGCCTCGGACTGGAATGCTGGCTCTCCTGGGCCTGCAGCATGCTGAGCCAGGTGGATGTGCATGGGCATCCTGTTGGTTCTGGCTCTCTAGAAAACCCTAGGTCTGCTGTCTTCCCACGGGTGAGGCTGCGCTCCTGCCACGTTGTTTCTGTGACTGTGCCCTGATTTACTGATTCTGCCCTGGAGGCTGAGTGCGTTGACAATGTTTTGCCACCGCATACTGCCTTGGATAGCCTTGTGTTGTAGTGCGCGCGTGTAGGAATTCCTGAAAGGCCTGAGTGTGGCGGGCGTCACTTCCAAAGTTTGTTTTTGGTGTCTTTTCTGGGGCAGCCACTATGAATTTCAATGTAGTGAGGTTAGTTTTTTCTTTTTCCTCTTTTGAGTTGGCTGCTTTTTTGTGTCTTGCGTAAGAAGTTTCTACCCACATGTGTTCTTGATTTTCTTCTAAAAGATTTTGTTTTGATTTTTTTTAATTGATTTATTTTACGCAGAGAGAGAACACAGTGAGAGGTGCAGTGGGAGAGGGAATCTAAAGCAGGCTTCCTGCTGAGCGTGGAGCCGGACGTAGGGCTTGATCTCACAACCCCGAGGTCATGACCTGAGCCTCAATCAAGAGTTGGGTACTTAACCGACTGAGCCACCCAGGTGCTCCTGGTTTGACTTTTTAAGTTTTGTTTTTGAATTCATCTCAGCTTGATTATTTTACTGAAGTAAGATTCACATAACATAAAAATAGCCATTTCGTGTTTTTTTTAAAGATTTTCTTTATTTATTTGAGAGAGAGAGAGAATGAGAGATAGAGAGCACGAGAGGGAAGAGGGTCAGAGGGAGAAGCAGGCTCCCATGGAGCAGGGAGCCCGATGTGGGACTTGATCCCGGGACTCCAGGATCATGACCTGAGCCGAAGGCAGTTGCTCACCGAACTGAGCCACCCAGGCGCCCTGTCATTTCATGTTTTTATGTGTGAATTTTTATGGAGATATAATTGACGTAAGTGTTATATTCATATTATGTGCTCACATCATGAGTGGAAAATGAGCCATTTTATTTTTTTATTATTATTAGGATTTTACTTATTCATTTGAGACACAGAAAGAGAAAGCCTGAGCAGGGAGAAAGGCAGTGGGAGAGGGAGAAGCAGGCTTCCTGCGGAGCAGGGAGCCCGATGCGGGGCTCGATCCCAGGACCCTGGGATCACGACCTGAGCTGAAGGCAGACGCTTAACGACTGAGCCTCCCAGGTGTCCCAAATTAGCCATTTTAAAGTGTAGAGTTTCATGGCATTTAATACAGTCTCATTGTTGGGCAACCATCACCTTCATGTAGTTTGACAACATTTTCCTCTTCCCAGCAGGAAACTCCACACCCGTTAGGCGGTCATGCGCCCCTCCCCCTCCTCTTCTCTCCCCTCCCCCCCTCCCCCCTCCCCTCCCCTCCCCCGTTCCCTCCCGCCCCTTCCTCCACCCCTGAGCCACTGTCTTCATTACTATGGCTTCCTGATAAGCTGCTAGCACATCTGAGAGTCAGTGGTTAGAAAGTAGGGTCTGTTTCTTGCTTGGACAGTGTCCTCCGGCCTCCTGACTCCCCTGCGCGTGCTTGCCCTGGCTCTTGCCGTCGAAGGCCCAGGAGTGGCCATGTGGAGGCCCCAGCTCCAGGGTGTGCCCTGCAGCTGACTTTGTTCGGCCTGGGACAAAACGCAGTGATAGGATTTTGCACGAGCTGACTCAGAGCGTGATGCCCAGGAGACAATGAGTAGGGGTCTTGAAGTTCTTTGGAAAGGCCCACAAGGCAGCGATTGATCTGAAGTGACTGAGTCACTTAGTAGCAAAGCCCTGGCCATGAGATGGGCCACTTTCTGACCACAATAGAAGGGCCAGATTGCCAAATCAAGTCACCCGGTTAATTGTGGCCCTTCATTTCTACTGTAGGAATTTGTGCAGCCCTAATCTTAGCCCTTCCGGGGAGGGAGGGCAGCTGTAGGGGTGGGTGTTAGCTCCATGCTCCATGGTGACTCCCAGACCCCGTGGGCTCTAATTTTAAAGCATGACCACAGAAGGGGGGGCACACAACCCTGTTGCTGGCACCAGAAGCAGGGTGTCCGGGAGCTCGTTTTCCTCAGACACATCAACAAGGTTTTCCAAAGGTTTTGGAAACTACTTTGGGCCAAAAAGACTTTCAGATGCATTCTCCCGCATTTGTTTGAGAGTTTGAGAGGATACAGGCTAGATCTCCATAATCCTTGCATTTACTTTGTTACAATTCTTACCCAGCCTTGCTGCCTGGAACCGCTCTTGGGTTTTCACCCGAATTAGTCACTGCAACTGAATTCCTAATTTCAAGCATGTTGCACTGAGTTTGATGATCTGATTTGGTGCTTTTAAAAAAAGATTTTTTTTATTTATTTGAGATTGAGAGGGAGAGAGAGCAAACATGTACTGGGGGGAGGGGCAGAGGGAGAAGCAGGCTTCCCGCTGAGCAAAGAGCCCAAGATGGGGCTCCATCCCAGGACCCTGAGATCATGACCTGAGCCGAAGGCAGACACTTAACCAACCGAGCCACCCAGGCACCCCTGGTTCAGCACTTTTTAAGATACCGTTTGGCTGAGAGGCTGTTCTGGTGAGAGAATGGATGGTTTGCCCAGGAGGTGTGCCCTGCTCTGTGAGCCCAGGGCTGCCTGTTTCCGAGGAGCGATGAGCCGCCCCGCGGATGAGCTTCTGCGCTCCAACTGCCTTGTCTCTGTCAGGCGCGTATTGGTGGCCCAGTGCCGTCCCGCGTGTCCCTCGTCCTTGATTCTCTCCCTTGTTTGCTGTGCACGCTCTGTGCTAGCTCCCGGGTTCCCTCTTCTGGCCCCTGAGAGCTCCCTGGCCCCGCTGGTGCATGTTCAATTTTATAATTCCTCTCTCTTTATTGCTATTCTCTATTTGATGACACATCAGCATGGCATGGTCTCCCACAGTTCGCAGAACCGTAGAAACAGCTGCAGTAGTTCCCCTCCTGTTCCTGGTATGTCTCGTGCTGTGGAAAATCCGATACTCGAGATGTTACATTGTAGCAGCTCTGGATAGACTCCCCTCAGGTCTGTTTTCCGGTTGTTTCCTGCTCATGTGCGTGTGGACTCTGTCAGTGGGGTCTCTGTGCCCTGCAGGGGGAAGCCGCGCCTGTCCGTCCTGTCAGCGTGCAGCCTGTGAGCAAAGCCCCCGGGTGCAGGGATGCCTGGGGCCTCTGACCGTCTCTTTCCCGGACCCTCTGTTCCGTGGGGCCCGTCTAGGTTATGTCACGGTCAGCTGCTGGCCTCCCTGACCGCTGATGGACAGGTCTCTGTTTTCAGCAATGCCCAGCCTGCGGGCAGGGAGTCCTTCTTGATCAAGGCCAGTGTCTGAGGTTCTTCCCCACCCCAGAGGTTCTCCTTAGCTCTCTTTCCATGGTTCTCTCCAGTGAACTCTGGCTCAGCTCTTTGCTCTTAATGAAGATGAGCTACTATTTTCAAGGGCAGCCTCAGGCCTGAACCCTCCTGCACTGGGTTTCAGATGAGGTCAGTTCCTTTGGGGAGAGCTCCAGAGCCCTCAGGGTGTCAGCAGCGGCCTTGGCCTTCTAGGTCTGCTCCCCTGGGGTGGAGCCGTCGCTCTGCTAGTGCGCTGGGCTGGGGGCAGCCAGGACCCTGGCAAGCCTGGCCTGCCACACCTCCGTGGATGGGGTGCAGCCTCCAACTGTGAAAGGCACTTGCTGGAAAATCTCTGGGCCACACTGCTTCAGGATTTAGCCCCCTTGGTGGTGGGATACCACACCTCCTGATTGGGAGCCCCGTCCTCTTGGCCACACGGAGCAGGAGTGGGGCCCTGCCCAGCTGTGCTGGAGGCAGTTGGCAGAAGTGCCCCAGACGCTCACTGTTCTCTCCAGGGTCTAGTAGATGTTCCTGATTCAGTGTCTCTTCGTTGGCTGTGTGCACTGAGGACAATTCCAGAGATTATAAATGTTTTCTCGAATCGGCTTTCGCTGGTTATACCTGGTCTGCCGCGGAGCGAGTCCTTGGAAGTGGGACCTTTGTACCTTGTACCCATGGTTTCCCCGGGAGGAGGCCTAGGACCCCTGCTGCCTGGACCCTCCACCCCAGATGTGACCTGATTGTCCTGGGCTGTGGCCTGGGCCTGCGTGGGAGCATTCTCCAGGGATTCTAGTGTGTAGCCAGGGCGGACACCACTGTCTAGGGCCAACCGGGTGGCTTGGCATTAAGGGAACCACACAGGGTAAGCTATGATGGCCGGGAAGCTTCTCCAGGGAGCCCCCAAGGCTCTGCACACTCGCTCCGGAGACACGCCTGCCTCATCCTAGTGTTGATGGACCGTGTTCAACGTCAGGGAGGATTGCTGTGCCTCTGCGTGTAATTTACAGGACACAGGATCTCCCCTTAGTCTTGGTTACAAAGTGTTTTCAAACAGGGATGTTTCCAGCCATGGGAGGGCCTGGGGGCGGGTAGAGCCTCTTCACACCAGGTAAGTTCTGCAGGCTGAGGCTTTGAAAAGCAAGAGCTGTTTCCCTAAAATGTTCAGCACTTACAGGGGCGCCTGGTTGGCTCAGTCAGTCCTGCATGCAACTCTTGATCTCAGGGTCCTGAGTTCAAGCCCCACATTGTCCGTGGAGCCTACTTGAAAGAAATTTAAAATAATCAGCATTTATGGTGTCTGTGGAAGGTGCTGGTTTATCAGGGTGTCACAGGGTGAAAAGCAGAAATGCTGCCTGGTGCTTATAAGTGGCTATACAGTGTGGGTGTGCAGGTGGCCTGATGGGTTTCATTTTCACGAGGGTCACACGTGTCCTCAGGGAAGTTTTGTTACAGTTGCCATGGCCCTCGAGGTTCTAGGTGAAGAAAGACACCAACTGCTTGCCCCCAATGTAAATACACACACACCCCATTTGAATAGGAGTGGGCACGGCCGACCCCCAGGCAGGCACAGCCTTGGGGGGTGACAGGAGGTCAGTAGGGCCCTGCGGGTGGCTCCTCCGCTCACCAGGCCCCAGCCCGTCTTAGGAGGAGGCTGAAGCTGCTGTGGGGCCCGCGGTGCGTTGGCACAGATGGTTAAAATGCAGCCAGTAAATACCTAGTAGTTCTGTGTAGAACACTCCACTAAAAACTAATGGTGGACTATACGGTGGCTAACTGAACATGATAAAGAAACATAAATAAAATGCAGCCAGGAAGGTTTGCCTGTGATATGCTGGAGATAACCCTGAGACCAGGTGCAGAAGCTAGCGGGTGGTTTTGAAAGCCCCCCCCCCCCCAGCTGATACCCCACACAGCAGGGTCACTGAGAAATGCGCACGTGTGGCCTCCGGGACACAGTTCACAGCCTGGCCTTGGGATGCACCCGCCAGACGCACTTCCTTAGGATGGAAGGGGCTGCCCTGGGCATCTCCCAGGAAAGCTTTGCAGACCCCTGACCCCGACCGGGGAACGACCTTCGCAAAGATAACGCGGTTTTCCTCCGGGCCGGGCGGGAG